ATTGTTACTTGCACTGAAGATTTCTTACAAAATCGAATCAACATTCATAAAAGAATAGCTGAAATTGATAATACCAATAAAAATTTCCCCTGGGTAGACTGCCTATCGAGTATTCACGGTTCGTTAACGTTTTTCTTTTTCTTAACCAGAACGACTGGCCGAGAATGGTTCGCTGAAAGAAAAATACAGTTCGTTTATGTAATACGAGTAGTTTTTATTTTAATTAAGAATAATGTATTGTTGATCGAAGAGATTAATCACAAAGTTACAGTGGATCAAATCTTGCTAGTAAAATTTAAGCTACTTTACAGTTTTCAATTGATCTGAAATTTTGCATGCATATCTATATAGAGGTCACTCACTCACTCATCATGAAATCTCCGTAACTACAAGTGCTAGGAGTTTCAAATTTTGCATGCAGTTTCTTTTTGAAACGTAGGTGCTCACTAAGATGGGATTTTAATCACCACCACCAGCCCTTTTACGTCCCCACTGCAGGGGCTCAGGCCTTCCTTATGGATGGTTAAGGAGGATGGGCCATGACCCTCCACGCTGGCCCAATGCGGATTGGAGGGTATTATCGACTGCAAATGCAGCCGGGACCAACGGCTTAACGTGCCTTCCGAAGCACGGAGTAGCTCGAGATAATAATTTTTTGGTCACCCATCCCGTGACCGACCCTTGCGAAAGTTGCTTAACTACTACGATCGCGGGCCGCGGCGCTTATCCACTACGCCACCGAGCTATTTATTGTTACTTGCATATAGCTTGTTACTTGCATATACTTGCACTTAGATATATTTGTATCTTGACATAACATAACTTTCCTACAAGAAAATATCCTGCGTCTGATGATGAGACTGGAAGGTGCTATATAGGAATTTACTAATAATTAAATCCCGTCGAGTCGTCCTCGTCTCATTAGATTTGTCTATAAAAGATCTCTGGATTAAGTAGACTTGTTTTTTAGAAAATACCAATTTCTACATAGGTATACTCGCAGGCTGATTTCGACCATTGGGTGAGCTGACCTGCATGGTGTTCAAAAGGTGCCAGCTCGATTTGTGCTAAAAATATATAGCTTAACTTAACCGCTTAAAAATATACCAACCTCATACTTTTTGATAATATTGTAATAATACTACTAGTACTACTTGTAATCGTAATAGTACTAGTAGCTAGTAACTATATTGAAAAAATAAAAAACGAGTGACCAAGACCAAGAGCAAGATCGGATTCACAGTTATGGGCACAATGGGCATGCCTACCACCCTTATAGAGTCATGAAGTCACATTATAATGGTTTACTGAGATCAACTATCCACGTGAAAACTATACACTGTATAACATCATGATCATAGATATACACAAAATTATTTGTTTAAAAATTACATAAAGTTTTTACAGTACTGGTTTTCTGTACCTTCTATAGTTACATTTAACACAATTGTTTTCCTTATTGTTTTCTGTGATTTAGCCTATAAGTTATGCTTATGTATAATGATTAATAGCTGTGAAAGAATTTATCTATCATATAAAGCTGTACAATGTTTAGAATTTAAGATTATTGCTCTGTGTATGACACGTGTAATATCATTTTTATGGGAAATAAACAGATTTATTAAATACATCTCCTTTGTGAATGCACTATTTTGAACAGGAGTTCGTAGGCTCGCACTTGACCAGCATGCTTACTCTTGAATTCAATTGCGGTTGATCGCCATTGCACAATGAGGAAGTATTTAAAAAAAACATTAGTTTCCGAAATCAAACTAGGTGTCGTAACGGTACGTTCTTGATTTCTCCATGAAAACCTTTCCAGTTTTCTTTCAAGTGTAAAAGTAAATTAATTTTCAAAACTCAATAAACAACTCAAAAAACCTCTTTGTACTTTTTCGTATTTGTATTGATATCGAAGTTTCGAACTTTCAAATTTCAGTTTTTTAATATGTTACCTAGTTAAAAGGAACGGAAATGACTGTCTTTGGTCCATTCATTTCCTAAAAAATCAACTTCTGCTAGAGTCGCCAACTAGTGGAGGTGCTTTTTCAGTGCTTTTGTTTTTTTTAATACTACCTCAATGTTACGGTTCGTACTCTTGCTTTGGTATAATAGCGCCTATTAGGTCAATATTACGTGGTTATTGAAGAAACCAATTGACATTGAATAAGTATTAAGTCTATATTTCAAGATAGCACTAAGATTTGATGAAAATTGAGTTCATCCAATCCTGATTAATATTCCAACTGGTGGTGATTGTTATGCCCATAGGCCTTTTTAGGTCTAGAATCAATTGTGACCAAGAAACCCACGAATATAATTTTAGACTCCATATACTTTTATTGAGGGGTTTCTATAATATTGAATGAATTTATCTAAAATTAACAAAAACAGAAAATTAATGGCAAATAACCTAATTTCAAAGGAATTAAGCAACCACATGCCTCTCAGACCTGCAATTCAAATCACCTGCCAATTAAAAATTTTATACATTTCTGGATACCCTGCGTATCCAGAAATGTATGTAATGTAATGTTACATCAAATCCCACCGGTAAATTCCCAGTTCGTTAGCAAACTCCCGACTCCCTGTGAAAAGCAAATCGACTGGTAGATAGATATATATCTTTCAGTAAGTAGATACATAGTACGCTGATTACAGCAAATTTTGTAGTTATTTTATTTCCCCTAGAGTCAATATATGCCTAAGTATTTCTACTACTACAAACCATCATGCTTTATCTTGTTATTAGATATATTGTCATTGGTATTATCTATACTAATATTAGGAGGAAAGATTTGATTGTTTGTTTGTTTGGTATCGAATCGGCTCCAAAACTGGACAGATTTTTAAATTCTCTCACCTGCGGGAACTTTACATGATACCCGGGTGACATAGGCTATAATTTACGCGTTCGAAGTCATGGGGAAACATCTACTATAAATAAATACCTAAATAATGTTTAGAACAAATATTTTATAGCCATATTTTTAAATAAAGTTGTTTGCATGGCATAGTTGACTTCGATATACACCTATTGCTCTTGAGGGAATTACTACAGGAACAATAAATGAACTTCATAAGTTTACGTCAGAGTCGTCGCCTGAAAAAATACGTAAGGTCAAGCAAACAATGATTTAATTTATCAAGTAAACTTTAACGATTGAAAATCTTAAGAACAGCTATTTCTAGATAATCGCATGTGACACAAAACAAAATTACAACAAACAACCTATCTACACAAAAATAGAGCCACAAATGTATCGTCAAAGACAATTATTGTTTCGTCTCGAAAGTGGGACGATTGCCGTCATATCTCTTTTTTCACGAAGGTTCCGTATCTAGTATCTTCAGTGCATGCAATATACCAGAACACGAAATATTATCCGTTGAACATACAAAATCCTCCTTTTCATAAAAATACAAATAGGCTTTTTTTCTTCGATGATATAGTTTAATTATAAATTTATTATATTTGATCAATTTGCATTCACAGTGCTATACTGATAAATATTTCTAATGAAAAATTCTTTAAAAATCTATCAGCTCCAGATACCCTGAGATAGAGCTCTAACCATTGAGCTGACCCGAGACCCAACTGACTGACGAATTTTTCAAGAACTTGTTACTTTTTCCCTAGTAGTGAGAGAATTTTCATCAATGTTCAGACAATCCACCTAATCAAATAGCCGAAAGAAATATAATAAATAAAGAAATAAAAAGTACTTTATACATTTTATTCTTCATAAAAAATGTTTAAGGGTATTTGTGAAATCCTGCAATAAAGTCGCGTATCTTAAACAAAAGCATAGTATCAGTATCTACAGCGAAATATTATATTTGAGTTGAAAGGCTAATCCTACCCGTAAATTGAACGGGATCCCGTGCGATTGGTGGAATTGAAGTAAATCTAGATTTGTAACGGACATCCGGCAACTGGTATCCAGATTATCCGGCCGTAAACTTATTATCCGCCAGATAGCGGATATCCAACAAAAATCCGATCGTATAATGAATTTAAAAAAAAAGGTTTAATATTTTATGAGATATATACCAACTAATACTAAATTAAAATATTTAAAACTGAATAATCGAAGTGAATTTTGATGTTATTTTAGGGAAGTTATTTGTTTAATGTGTAGGATAAGTTTATTCGATATTATCACCATTGTTAATTTTTTTAGTATTTAGCAATAGAACTGTCAGATTATTTAAATAAGGTTTGATGGTAAAACTTTGTTTATATATGGTAAACGACTGTTTGTTTTTCTAAATAAATAAAAAATGGAAGAAAAGTTTGGTGATATAATTGGAAACTTGCGCTTTATACAAATAATAACTCATGTAATATTTTTATCAAAATTGAATTGCTGAAACAAACCTACAAGGATACCCAAGAAATTCTAATGGCAAAACAGAATGTTTAAATACATTTAAATTGTAATTAAGAATGGCAAAAGAAAATCAGTTTTAGGGAAGTAATTAGTCCAAAATTAAATTGCAAAAAATTACCTCTACAAAAAATTTCAAAGATTCTTTAACAATACTTAATTTAAAGAAACTTTAACAATACTTAATTTAATAGAGTAATTATTTTATAGGATGAATTTGCTAATATGAGAGTCACTTTGTAGTTTATAATAATTTTAACAAATTACATGACATAATTTAAGAACAACGACATAGACGAAAATATTTCAATGTTGTACCATTCACCAATGATAGCCTCCTTGTCTTTGAACAGGTAAATTATGAATAAGAAGAACTGCTTGCTATTCTGTTAAATAGAGGTGTAAAAACACAGCGTTGACACAGCATTGCTGGTTCAGTCAAATAAAACCTATTCCAAATTCTTTTTTGGGCCTTTTTTACAAAGACAGCACTGTCTGTCAGTGCTGGGTTCGATGCTGTATTTTTAACGAAATAGTTAAGAACAGCTGATTTGTTAATAACTAATAAATAAAAAACGCCCTTCGCATTGTTTTCAGAAATTCAATAAAATGGATGCAATACTATTCGCGTTGGCTTTGGAAGTGGTTCTATTGCAAATGCGGATTCTCGGTAAGGTTTAATCTTGTTATACGAAGTAAAGCTGACTACTGCATTAGTGACATCCAAACAACAGAATACGATTTTAGTTAATTATAATAAATGCCTGATTAATCGATAGTTATGTCAAAAGACTTATAGATTTAAAATTAATTTAACAGAGAAATCCTAAGGTAAAACTTTTTTATTTTGTGCGTTCTGAAAATAACAAGGACGAGTGCCAAAATAGAGAATACGGCTGAAATGCTGAATGTCATCAATGTACATAATGTGTAACAAATTTTAATTTATTGGATCCATTAGTTTTGAAGGAAATCAGCAAATTGACAGATAGACAGACATTGATCCTATAATGGTAATGGTTTCCGCTTTAATACGCAACCCTAAAAATCAACACAATTACATATTTGGAGAGTCGAGTCGCAATTTTATTAACATTACGTGACAATTTTTATATCTATAAAAAACCGTACTGAAAGAAATTTGAAACGAAAATCGTAGGTAAGTTTATTTTGTGAGAGAAGTAAATGTTTACTTTAATATTTTATTATGATTTGGCATTTTTTGACTAATAATATGAATTAGAAATCCACGAAAATCTTGATAAGTTTGATTCTTATATCACCTATTCTATACATAATTAAAAATTTTAAAGTAATATAAAATTACTTTCCGCAGTCTATACGCTGAGAAATTGGTGTGTATCTGCTATATTGCTGACGTTTTTTAAACTACATAACGGAGTTGAATACGGTTTTCAATATTAAACATAGTGATTCGAGAGGAAGGTCTATATGTATAATACGGGACAGGCTTCTATCATAAATTCTTATAATAAATATTAATTCTTTCTATAAAGAAAAATACATAAGATAAAAAATACCTGCCTTCAAATAGGGTAAAAAGAAGTTGTAAATCGCTATTGCACTCTAGAGGATTTAGGTGGAAATAAATACCACTGGTTTTTCTAGAGAGCACTAGTGAACTGCGGTACCGAAAGAAAACTGAAAGCAAACCGGAAAAAGCACAGCGAGAAAAGCTTGTGAGGGATCGGTAAGTTACGTAACTTAAAAGATAGATGGCGTTTCTTTCAACTAATACATTATACTATACTATTCTACTTGTCTTAACATTAATTACTAAAATATAGTGTTTAATAGGCACTTATTATTAAATCGATGTAGTTACTAACAAAAGTTTCTTCGATTAATGTAAATATTTTAAAATTTGTTATTACAATGTAAGATGTTTTTAACTATACGAGTATTTAGTACAAATTTAGACAATCAAATGTTTTTACAGTGTTCAAATGTTTTGAAAGAGTTTTTCAAATATCCAACGCAAAAAAACAATATTTACTCGTTATAATTTTAGTATAGCTGAGCCCGCGACTTGGTCCGCGTAGAAAATAGCCTCAGTTACTCCTTATTACATAAGCTATAGCCATAAGCTATATTTTTTGTATTAGACAGACAAAAAATATAAAAAAAATGGTATTTTGTTATAAGTACTATGTAAACATACATTGTTACATAGTACTTATATACTTATAGTACTTATATATTTTCATGATGATGATGAAATGCGGTTAATTTAATATTACAAATAGACATTGCAATTTTATTTATTTATATAGATAAATGCCTACTATTTCAGACATACCCTAAAGGACGTGATACGAAGAACATTATTGGAAATTGTAGAAAATGGCGAATGGCTCAACCTACAGAACTCAGTGCAGATTATTCATGAGCAAGTTTGTTATCCTCTCAAATTGCGTTTAAATTATGAAAATTTGAGAACGTAAGTACCTATGTTATAATAGTATATTTCAAAATCGCCTTTTGTGTTTGGTTTTGGTTGTAAATGTTTTGTATAACTGTAATTGTACGCAATAAAGTGTATTCATTCATTCATCTTCATGAGAAGTCAAAACTCAAAATTTTTAGTCAATTATTTAGGAAGAAAAGATATCGAGGAAGAGAGTTTTTAATTTTATATATGTAAGTATAATTACTTACAATATAAATGAACATCATTATATATTGTTCTATCCATACAATAGCTATCGATGTTCACAACAAAATAATGAATTAAAATCTAATATATAATCATTTTTTGACTAAAATAGAAATTTCGGTCACAACCGCCGCATTCTCTGCAAGTCATCTTTCTTTAGGGAGATGTAAGATAAAAAATTGGTTAAAAATAGTGGGTGCATAAAACGTAAAAAGTTAATTAAAGAACGCACACTTATATCATTAAGCAAAAGCAGGTAAATTAATCGGAGCTCTACTGTGCCTACTATCTTTATAGATCGCGTGGTGGAATCTTAAATGAGTTAATAACAAAACGTACTGAATGGACGTTGGAGCTATGTAATGCCGATCAAAAGATTGCTCAACTTCGAGATAAGATGAAGGTAATTATGCTCTTTTAGAGACTTTACCTCGTTAAAACAGAAATAGATAGGAAATAAGTTTAAGGGCTTTGATATTAAGAGCAACATGTGGGCATAATTTTATCCGTAAATCGAATCTGTTTAAATATAATTCATTAGATGTTTTCCCGCGTCTTCTTACGCATAAATTATAGCCTTTCTCACCCGCGTATGATGTAGCTTTCCGTAGGTGAAAGAATTTCCATAATCGGATTAGTAGTTCCGAAAATTACCCTCTACAAATAAAGTACGAAACTTTACCTTTTCATATTCAATTCAATGCTAATATTTTATTTGTGACGTTTTCAGGCCTAAACATTAAAACAATTTTAATAAAATTCTAACACAGATAGAGTGGACTTTGGAAAATTACATAGGATACTTTTTATAGCGAAAAATAAACTATAATAATTATTATTATTTTTAATACAAAATGCTTAAAAAATCCACTTGGTCCCTGGCACTCTTCATCCCATCTCAGAGTGCCAGAGACCAAGTAGATTTTTTAAGAATTTTTTATTAAGAATAATTTTCAATATAGCATTGTGAATGCAAAATTAATGAATAATAATAAGGTGAAAGATGAAAACTTCCACAAGGGCCTCGGCTGGAAGTATTATTATATTTTATACTAGTATTATTATACTCGTAGATTGATAAAACCTTTTTGCTTACTAGGACGAAATGCAAAACGCAAACGCAAGGCTATGCTACGTAGATAAATGGTTGTTTGCCCGCCACGAGTCGTTAGAGATGCAATGGAATTTAGAACCGCGAGCACCCGCGCCGAGTCTCAACCATGAGAACAGAGTGCACGCCGAGCTAGTTAGAGCTTATGAACTACAAATAGAGGTCTGTATTGTAGACTGTAGTGTAACCCATATTCAGATCAAACCAAACGTAAAGGTATAAATTGCATTTCCACACTATAGATAATCTTTTAGTTAACACTAAACCGACAATACGTTTTTATTATTTATATACTATTAATAAAGGCTTTCTTATTAATTGATTTATTTTATATTATTATAATGTACAGATTCCAAAGCCTAATTTTGCAACAATCAACCATTCGACTCCACCATAGGATGACATAGGACCGGAGGTATAGTGTTGAGTCTACATATCGTATTATATATAAGTGGACGACTCCCTCACTCACCACAATAATGAGTTGTTTCGAATTAAAGGTTGAGTCGATACATAATCAACATAATATTAACGATTGGTTGAGGGAGAGGGTCGGTTTTATTAGTTTGATAGAACGGCTCAGTTTAGCGTTTCCTCGCAACTAAAGCCTATTTAACGTTATCCTGATGATATATGAATAATACTAATCCGTTGAAGTAAAGTTAGGCGAAATGAGTATAACCAAATAAATGATGATTGAGTGAAGAAAGAAGTTAATAACAAAAAGGCATTCATTCTGCGTAAGCAAATATTGTAACAATAATAGGTAATTATTATAGTTTTCAATATTCGATCAATTATGAATTACAAATAATTTATCGAATTTTAACTCGACTCGGCCGGCGAGTAGTAGTTCGCGCAAAGTAGCGACCGACTCCCTGTCTCATTTGCCTTACGCCTGGCTACATACTTATTCTCTTTACCTCATCTCAAATGAAATATCAAATCAAATGGTAGGTAAGACGAGGTCCTCATTCATTCTCAATCAAAAATGTGCGAGTTAAACAACACTACGGAGGTATTTATTTGGCGCGAAGATAACGTTGGATAATGTCAAAGTCAATGTCAAAGTGACAGTGTCAGCTCACTAACAGATAGTGATACCCGTAATGCAATCGATACTACGTGATTCCATCTTGGTTGTCAATATTTTCGTGTAAAACCATGCTATGCATTAGTATTCCGTCAGTACGCATCGTGAAATTTTAGAATATCAACTTCAATGTGTTTTGGTTATATAGATAATTAATGTTATAGCGAAGGATTGGATTCTAGCGCCCGGTCGATTAATTTTGTGAACATATACAAGCTAATTCATTTGTTCATTCAGCACTAGCGGCAGTAGCTCACAGACGGCAGCTGACTTTACGTGTGTTAGTTATGCAAACTGTTGCAAAAACAAGTTTGATACGTAAAAATACAACATTTATAAACGTGATATTTCTTTATTCGATTTAGGTGGTATACAAATCAACCCGATAGATATTATAATTATCAGTTTCTATTACAGGAACGCGAATGCACCTTACAATATTGGAAACAGAAGTACTTGGATGACACCGCTAACATAAATGAGCGCCTGACAAACAAATGTGAACAATTACGTCAAGTCGTAGCTAAACGTGAAGAATTACAGAAATTGGTAAGTTTAATAAACAAATTTAAACTCACAAAATACAAATTTAGGGCTAAAAATCCTAATAATAAGCGATAAGGTAGCCAGCCTTAACGCTCGACGGCGATGTCTTCCAAGTAAACCAAATTGTTTTAAAAATTTGCATTTTATGCACATAAATTAAGGTAAAACAGATAATTATGATTTGAACTTCCTTATTTATCACATTGCCTTGACATTATTAATAATGTTATGTGGTGTCCGGGCAATCTAATAAAAATACATTTTACAAAGGTACAGCACGAGGCGCGCAGAGGAGAACAAATCGCACTTTTTCCATAACAGTCCTACATCACGATCTCATAGAACAAGAACTGTATTGGACGTAGTTAATCAAAAAGGATCCATCCCAGACAATGTCACTTTTGAGATATAGACGATTGAAGTTTAAGTTGTATTTGCATGTTGATGTAACATTTTTGTGTATTATATTTTTATGTAATAGCATAGAAAATCACTTTCATTATCTTATTATAATGTCATTTTAACAGAACTAATAATATTTATTAAAATATAATGTTAAAGTATGTTTGGATCCCTTTTGAATATATATGTTTTAATTACCTTATTCTTACAAAACAAATCTAAAAAACGATCCAAATGAAGAAATAATAGAATAATTAACGCCAAAATTTTATCGTAAAAACTATTTATTAAAGGTTCTTTATATTTATTGTTTTAATTTTTAATGTCAAATATATTCTCACTATCTAAAATTACCTTCCTACACCTTTTAATAAAATTGCCTTTTAACAAAAATTATTCAACCGCTTTGAACCTTTATTGTGATTTTTAACCAAGATTAGTGTCTTTAATTTGCTATTTTACTATATGGACACAAGAACCTTGAGTAGTATTCATGGAACTAAAGTATGAACCATTACCATTGAAAAAAAAACGTCAAATATTTAATACAGCTCAGAGTTTTTTTCCTATATGAAAGTGTAGATCTTGATGGACATTTTGGTACACTTAACTAATTTTCGACCAATTTGTGGGATGGACCCTTTTTGAGTAAATACGTCCTATTCTGTGGTAAAAAAATGTTAATAATATTCTACGATTACTCAGGTACCCTTATTTTTTTTATCAAATCAAAAAGAAAGAGTACCTAGTCAAATTTATTTTAAAGACAATTGAAGGAATTTATAAATATTTTAAAGGCGTAATAATTTATTTTTGGGCATTCATTTACTTTCAGTTTGACTTGCATGCTGGTGAAATGCGGGCATGGTTGACGTTTAAAAGCGAGCGAGCCGCACGTTTAGCTAGAGAAAAACTTAGAAAAGACGCTGCAACACGATTACAAGCGTGGTGGCGTGGTATTATGGTTCGCAGAGCACTTGGTTCCTTCCGCCACCTGAAAAACTTAAAGAAAACTCCCACTAAGAAGAAGAAATAAAGTTAATACTGTTTAAATTAATATCCTTAATTTGAAATAAAATTAGTTGTAAGTAGTCTTTGTAAGGCGTACCGATCTCTATTTACGATAATTTTAATTCATAGCTTAGTAACTACAACAATAACTGTTTGAGTAAATTAAAAAATGGTATACATGATAATTTCAGTAAACTTTAAACAATAATCTAACTTTTAACCTTAGGAATCACAGCAAAACTTTTTCTAAGTCTTAAAACATTGTTAGAATAAACGAAAACATATGGTGTTTTTCTCGTTTTTATCTAATGTAACACTTTTCAAAGATTAAATTTAACATCGATGTTTTTTAAGAATAATGGTGCATCCCTACTAGCCGCAGTGAGGGTTACCATGTCTCAAGATATGTCCTTAGATTCCGGCATTTTTAAATGCGCTCGGAATTGAGATAATGCAGGATTTTCGTTATTTTAGCCGTAAAAAAGTTATTAGTAAATGACTTTTAACCATAAAAGTAATCTTGTGATTACCGGTGTTTCAAAAACTATTATTAAGAAAACTTCTCTAATAATACAGTCAAAATAAAAAAGAAATTGCAAATACTTTGATTGAAGTTAGATATCTGCACTATTGCTCACATTAGTCTATGCAAGAAGGAACGACAGAGACATAAAATCGACGACGATGTGTATTGAGAAACTCGGGTTTCTGATGTATCAATAAGGTTCTGTAGATTAATTGCTTTGAAGTTTTGTTATTTTTTTTCATAAAGCAGTATTATTTTCACGAAACAATAAAATACGGACTTATACAATGATATTAATAATCTAAATATCTCGCTTATTCTTAGTTTAAATGATAATTAAATAAAGGTTAGTTGTAATGGAAAGGTCTAATAATAAATAATATTTCTTTTCTAATTTAATCAATATTTTTATGCCTTATAATTTTGTTAATGACTTGGTCTTAAATTGGGTAACCACTTTTAATATTATGGCCTTTTTTTTTCTTTTGTAACCGTGAGAAGCGTAAATAAAATTGTAATAATAAGTAAACAGCCTAATTATCAATTTCGTCAGTAAAAAAAAAAATAGTATAATAAGTTTCATTGAAATTTCATTGTTTAATTAAATAATAAAATAACGATTTTTTGTTAGGTAGGTTACCTACAGACAGAATTTGATGACGCGGAACCCTAAATTAAAACGTTGCCTAACCCCTTCAAACGTTTCGGTAGTACAGCTTTTTAATTTTGTCAGACTATTATTTATTCATAATTGTTAAAATCGTAATTTGGGATTGTCATCCATTGTGAATGCTACTGCCTTTCTTGTTGTTTTCCCGTTTTCCGTGATGTTGTTGTTTTATTTTTGTTTTGTTTTTGTTGTTAAGTTTGAGTAAATATGGACGATGCTGGTGCAGGCCCCAGAGGCCTACAAAAATTACGCTCTAAGCCCCCATACCTGCCCTCAAACTGACATTTCAGGGAGTTTTTCCAATGTCTTCATCAATAGTCTAACTAATTACACTTATAATTAGAATTTATCAAAACACACAGATAATTTCAGTTTCAGTTCCATGTTGGCTTGCGACTAAAAGATGAATTTATAAAATGCTGGCCTCGTCTCAACCCCGAGGTATCATAAAAAATTGAAAATTGCCCAGCTCTTTCAGACTACCTAACGTTCAAAGTTTCAACAAAACTAATATATATTTTTTAATTTATCTTGAAAATAAAATGTTCCGCACTGCTGCTTCTGTGACCCTCTTTTTTCTAATGTTATAGTGAATGGAGTATAGATAGGTATAGTGTGTCGCGGACTTTTTTGTATATATTAATAAGATCTACAATTAATTACATTTTATGGTTCTATCTTTTATAGTTTAGGCAGCGTACGCAAAATGAGTAACTTTTTTCTAGTTGATTTTTACACCTTGTGTCCAAAAAACTCAAATATCTTACGGAACCCTATTCCTTTCCAAAATAAATTTAGCCTATGTTACTCGTGGATAATGTAGCATTCAAATGGTGAAAGATTTTTTAAAATCGATTAAGTAGTTTTTGAGCCTATTTATTACAACCAAACAAAGTTTTCCTCTTTATAATATTACTGTAGATAAAAACAAAAATAAAGTATTTCGCTAATAAAATAATCGTTTATTTATTTATCTAAAAACATTTATCTACTCACTTAATAAAGTCTATCTTATTTACTTTAGCCTCTTTGGAATGAGGAAGTATTTAAAAAAATAAAGAATCTACAATTTATGTCACTAGCAGAAATTGGAGGGTGATCATCGCCATCTTTTATTAATTTCATTTTCATTTTACATGTAAAAATTAATTTATTTACTTGACATTGGCAGAATTGTGCCAAATGCGCAGATAAGCCATTATTTAAAAAAGAAGAAGAAGAAGAAGGATCTAAATGACAATCACAGACTGTCAGCTGTCATGTCACCATTTACTGTCAGGGGTGAGGGGCGTTTGGAAATGTCATACATCACAGGACCCCTACGCGATTGGTTTATTGTACGGAGTTGACGGGCCGTGATGACAATTCATGACGTTAAACCAAAGAGAATATAGAATTATCAGTGTTGTTATGGATCTGATAACTCGGACTAATATCGAGATGAAATTTTAATTACTTCGAATTACGCAAACGCAACTCTTTTAATACAAAGTAATCTTTAAATAAATAACTTTTTTATTCAACAAGAAACGTCCGTTCGAAGCGAACAGCAAGGTTATAACTTTAAATTTTAAAATCACAAAGACACGTACAGTTATTATGCTAACGCTACTGATCTTGCATGACGGTGGACGTCGGGCCAGGTCTTATGTTAATTCGCACGGTGGGTATCTGCTTTTTTGGTTCTTACAATTGACTACTTGAATATTGTCAATAATATATTGACTTTCTACTCAACCTACTCTAGAAATCAGTTTTATTGAAATATATTACTTATTAATTACCTAGAGTAGTCATGATCTCTTAAAAATCTCTGAGGTGGTGTCGTGTGCATCATTACGTTCCCTCAAATATAGTTAAGCGAAGCGATGACTAGCTCATGCGTCAAGCTCATCAACGGGTGCTGCCAATGGGAGTGAATCTGCACTGGACTACTTAATTTCGTCCTTTTCTATTTATGAATATAGTATATTGATTTGTCAATGAGTTTGCAGAATTTCTGATATTATAATGGAAAGTGACTTTACAGTCTATAAAGTCACATTCCAATAAGACTTCTCTCTGTGGAAAAAATCAGGGAGAAAAAAAGTAGCCCTTGCTGAGTTTCTTTCCGGTTCTTCTCAAAACAAGATCTCCCGCCTTAGTTTTGCAAACCGTTGGCAAACTTTTCGACTTTCACAAGTATTATGTAACAGCCTATGTAATAGACTGAATTGATTTCGATATTTATATTAATATAATTCGACGAGTGGATGGAAATACTGCACATAAATAAACAAGCAAAATTCTGCGCTCCACTTTTTATTCGTGATTCTAAACCTGAATTCGGATGAATCGAGTCAATTGAAGTTACGAGCAACCATTAAGTTGGTTCAATACTAATGTTGACATATAAACCAAACATCGTTCTTTTACACGTAACAAAACACGAAAAGATGTCATATTTATTAATTTTCGACACTCAATTTACTTTTGTTAATCAGAAACAAAATTTGAATGAATATCAAGGACAATATCCGAACATAGCTAGTGACATCAAGTTTGATTTCAAGAACTAGTTTTTTATTTATTTTTTAAATACTTCCTCATTCCCTCAATATACCAATAGTATTGACAGTTTTGCTTTATCAAAAAGGAAGTATTATTAAAAACTATTAATGTAACTTCACAAAGGCTTATATGACCCATAAAATTGTTGTTAGTAAATAATCAAATATAGACAAATATAAATGCCGGCCAGGTACGGGTTAAACTCGCGCACGTAGGGTTGCCCGAAACAAGCAAGAAAATCACGTTATTGTATGGGAGTCCCCTTAAGTAATCATTTTACTCTTGTTTTTATTTAGTATTTGTTGTTGACAGAAGATTATCTGTGAAAAATTCAATTGTTTAACTTTCATAGTGGCAGACAGACAGGCAGCAAAGTCTTAGTAATAGGGTTCGCGTTATACCCGTTGGGTACGGAACCCTAAAAAAGAGGTTCAGCTACCATCAATCCATATCAAATTTCCAATTTTCGGAATTCAATTATCAATATCAATTCAATTATGTCGGATCAAATTTCATAGTAAATTTAGTTTAACACTAGATTTGAGCTAAATCTCTTACACTTAATCAACTTCTATTTCGATTTCGCTGACCATTTTTTAAATATTTCTTGATGACATCGTCAACTTTATTTAGGCAGTTAAGTTATTTATGTATTTTCACACATACCATACATTTCGATGCTTACAAAGCGTTGTAGATGGGGGGTGAGACCCTCCAGGCTTCAGGTAAAAGGATTAAAACAAAATAATGTTTCAATAATGTTGAAATAAGGTTGGTTTCATTAAAAAAAGTTAAGTCTTTGGTTTTGACGTTTTTGTTGGTTATATTCTGGTCTTGTGTCGGTTGAGATAAAACGAATTAAATATTGTTTTTATTCTCTCGAAATGTGTTTTTCTTAACATGGTAGCAGAGCGGAAAATAATTACATAAATATGCGTTGAAGATTTATGGCAAAGCGGTAAGATATATAGTTACTAAAAGTCCGGGAAGATGAAAATATAGTTTTTCGCCGTGTCGAGAGGAAAAACAAAAGCGGTTGAAAGTCAAAGTAATGTAAAGAAATTGAAAAAGACATGGAAGGAAAAGATGAATTTCGTCTGCAAATATTTGATGGAACAAATTACGATAAGTGGAAATTTAAATTAAAATTATTTTTGGAAATGAAAAACTGCTTATTAGCCATAACAGAAGAAACAAAGAGAGAAGGTATGTCAGAAGCAGACTGGCGAAAAATGGATCTAAAGGCGAAAAATTATATTGTGAATAGAGTGAACAACACCCAATTAGATATTATACTAACAGAGGATACAGCATTTGGGATGGTAAAAAAATTGAACGAGACATATGTTATGAAAGGGAGTGCAAATAAATTACCGATTAAAAGAAAAATTCTCGAAACAAAATTAAAAGACGGTGACAACCCGATTGACTTTTTGCAAATTTTCGAAAAACAAATTAACGAACTAAAGGCAGCTGGAGAAAAATTATCAGAAGAAGATAGACCAAATTATTTATTATCGGCATTGCCAAAAAGCTGCTCTCATATAGTTAATATTATTGATGCCATGCCGATCCAAGAAAAGACAGTTGAATATGTGAAATCAAAAATAATGCTTGATTGGAAAAAGAAAGGAAATATTGAGGCACCACTTTCGTTTGCGAGTACTTCTACACAAAATAGCGAACAAATGTTTTGAGTGTCATCAACCAGGACATTTCAAAAGAGACTGCCCAAAGTTACGTAATCGTGGTAATTACAGAGGAAGATTTTACCGAGTTAAACCATAAACTTTAAACTATATGAATTATACGGTAATATTAGTTGTGATAACACAGCATATTACACAAGTGATAGATTCATGTCAGAAAAAGAGAAATGGCATCGTACGTTAGGTCACGTCAATTTTTACAAATTAAAAGACATGTGTAGGCACAAATTATTAGATTGTTTGCCAGAAAATTTAGAGGAAGGTTTTGTACAATGTGAAATTTGTTTACAATATAAAATGTCAAATTTGCCATTCGAGAATAATAGACGTCGAGCGACCGAAATACTAGAAATAATTCATACAGATGTAAATGGGCCAATTACACCTTTTGGATACAATGTTCAACGATATTTTGTTTCATTCATTGATGATTATAGTAAACTTGCATATGTTTCTGTTATTAAAAATAAAAGTGATGTATTTGAGTGTTTTAGAACATATGTAAGAACAATGCATACTCAAACAGGGAAAAGAGTGAAGGAAATACGATGCGACAATGGACGTGAGTACTTAAATAATGAAACTTTGCGAAGCAGGAAGGAATATATTTAAAACCTGGTCCAGCATACACACACCAACTCAATGGAGTAGCTGAAAGATTTAATAGGACAGTTATGGACAGCGCTAGGTGCTTAAAGTAGATAAAAAATATTGGCCAGAATGTGTGCTTACTGCAACATATCTAGGCAACAAAATTTTGACAAATACATTTGAAAAGAAAAGTCCTTACGAAATATTTTATAAAAGGAAACCGGATGTTAAAAATTTAAGAATTTATGGATGCAAATGTTTTGTAAGAATCCCAGAAGAAGTTCGAACATCAAAATTTAATCCAAAGGGTGTCAAAGAAATATTGGTAGGATATACTGATACAGGGTACCGAATTTTAATAAATGATAAGATAGTTATATCACGACATGTAAAGTTTATAGAAACGGATAAACGTCAGGAAGTTATTGGTTTTCGATATGAAGATACAGATAATGACGTTGATGATGAAGATAATAAATTAGAGAGAAACCAACAGCATAGAGAAGGAATCGACACTAATAAGGAAAATAAAATAAGTGAAAAAGAAAAGAGAGAAGGAGAAATGATTGAAGATGTCAGGTCTAAAACTAAAAGTGATAACGATGATGAATTTTATGATACAATTGAAGATAATGACAATAAGAGACAAATTACTAGTGAGAAGGTGAATGTACCAAGTCGTCCGAAAAGAGAAATTCGCAGACCTGCTAGATTTAACGATAATTTTGTTTACGTAAACGTTTGTGATTGTAGTGTTCCACTTACCTATGACGAAGCAGTGAATTCTCCAGATAGTATAAAGTGGGAAAATGCTATGAAATCAGAAATAAATAGCCTTGAACAAAATCAAACTTGGAAAGTGGTTGATGAGCCTAAAAATATGAATATTATTGAAGTGAAATGGATTTTTAGAGTAAAATCTGATGGTAAATATAAAGCAAGAGTTGTGGCAAAAGGTTTTCAGCAAGTGTATGATGAAAATGAAGAAATATATTCACCGGTTGCAAGAATGACCACTATGAAGACACTTATGTCGACAGCATGTATTAGAGGTTGGAATATTGATTGTATGGATGTTGAAACTGCCTTTTTAAATGGAAACATAAGATCGGAAGTTTATATATTTCCACCGGAAGGCTATAATAAAGTAAAGTGGTAATAATAAAGTATGCAAATTAAAAAAGGCTCTATACGGTTTACGAGAAAGTCCAAGAGATTGGTATGAATGTTTCAATGAATTTATGCTTAGTATAAATTTTCAAAGATCAAACTATGATTATTGTTTATACACAGGATTCGAAAAAAATGAAAGAATCTACTTATGTTTATATGTCGACGATATTTCAATTTGTGCAGAAAAGAATATTACTATTGCAAAGATGAAACAAAACTTGAGTGACAGATTTCGGATGAAAGATTTAGGCAAGGTAAAACAATATTTAGGAATTGATATTGACTATAAACCAGAACAGAAAGAAATGACTTTGAGTCAGAAGAGGTATATAGAGACCCTGCCAGAAAAATATAATATAAATGATGATTGTAAAACATATGAAACACCAATGGAACAAAATTTATCATTGGAGATTGGAAAAGGTACTTGTGACTTGAAATACAGAAATTTAATTGGAGCTTTACTATACATCGCCAGTGGAACTTGACCAGATATTTCGTATAGTGTTAATTATATAAGTAGATTTCAGAATTGTTATGATAATACTCATTTCAAATATGCCTTGAGAGTCTTGAAATTCTCATATAATAGTCGTCAAATGGTACTTAATTATAATTCGAAATATGATGATTACTTAGATGCTTATGTTGATGCGGATTGGGCTGCAGACAAAATTGACAGAAAGTCAACGACAGGTATTGTGTTAAGAGCATTTAACAATCCAATTTTATGGAAAACACACAAACAGAAAATTGTTTCAAGGGCTTCAACTCACGCGGAATATTGTGCGTTAGCAGATTGCGTTACGGAGATTTTGCCAGTAATAGGAGTCTTAGCTGATTTAGATGTTAAAATAACAAAGCCAGTCAAAATCTATGAAGACAATAGTGGTGCCATATCTATATCAAAAAAAGGGAAATTCTGTAAAAATTCTAAACATGTATTCATTTTGTAAATGATTACGAGAAAAAAAAGATTATGTCTGTAAATAAAATAGACGGTAATGATCAACTTGCTAAGGCATTAGGGCAATATATTTACTAAGGCATTAGGGAAATGTAAATTTAATAAATTTAGGTATTTATTAAATATTTATTGATTGTTGGAAATTGAATAATAGATTATATTTTTTTTTTATAAAACTCAAGGAGGTGTGTTGAAATAAGGTTCGTTTCATTAAAAAAAAGTTATATCTTTAGTTTTGACGTTTTTGTTGGTTATATTCTGGTCTTGTGTCGGTTGAGATAAAACGAACTAAATATTGTTTTTATTCTCTCGAAATGTGTTTTTCTTAACAAATAAACTATATTTTATTTTACAGGGGGTAGGTACAGATTCACTCGCTATGGTTCTCGATGGAAATAAAATCACCATTTGAAACTAAAATAACTAGCATTCGGACAATGTATTGATTACATTTAATTTTTAGCAGACAAAATTAAATATGAAATCTGTAAGGAAGAAAAATATCACTGCTTAAAAATCTAATAGGAGTCTGTAAAAAGTGACCTCTTGATTGATATATTTGTAGTTTTATTCCCAATATTGCATAGTTTAATCAGGAAATATATACATATTAACGGGATTTAAAAGACGCATTTGAAAAGTTATACAATAAATAGTTGCGTCTTGAAAACTTACTCATTTATATTTTTTTTATAAATTCAAAATTAATATACGCCGCACTTAATGGATATGAATTTTATTAACATAGATATAATAATAGAATGTATATAATTCATTACATAAGGTTTTTGTAAATCTAGAATATGGCAATCAAATTCAGACAGACACGGCATTTTACAATATATAGATAGCAACCCTAACTCTAAGTCTGACATTGCAGTCTTTTTGACAGTGACAGTTGAATGAAGTTTTAATTTTTTTATTTCCTTCGAAAAAATATTTAGTCAGTCAGTCGTTGTCATTTACATGTGGTGTGTCGCGCGTTGTGCGAATGTGTTAACGTATATTTTAACATACATAATTCGTATAATTCAATATATCTAGTAATAGTTTTCATAAAGTTGTAGTTATTATTAGACGTTATTAAATTGGTGGTGACATAATGCACGATATCAGATTATACTGACTTTTTGTTTCGAATTCTCAGAATTTGGATTTTCATCACTTTTTAACTGGTGAGTAATTCTCATTCCGATACTTTAATAAACTGTATTACCTCGAAACTGCTAAGCTTAAATTCATAAAATGAAAGCAATTATCAGCACGAGGTAATTGTCTACCTACTTTCGAATTTCTGACCGGCGTTTTTATAAATCACAAAACGTGCAGGTATACAGAAATAGCACATTTTACTCTTTATAAGTACTGTATGTCATTTATTTGCCATATGTATATTTTTTGTGATCCTGTTCAAAACTTTCACTTTTCCCTTGGTTTTTGTACATTACTGTTTTGTATCCGTAAACAAAAAAAAGTAGGTAAATCCAAAACTGCCTGAAAGACAGTTCTCTTTTGTACACAAGACTGCACATCAGGTTACAACAATATGACAAATTTCTCCAGTTCACTATAAACTCTTCCAGTAAAATAATAAGGTTTAAAGTCAAGTGGAGAAAAGCAATAGCAAACTAAATAATTTCTTATTTTAATTTCAATTACTTTAACTCTATTCTGTTGTTATTTTTTTTAATATAAAATGACAGTGGTTTATTTTGTCTCTTAGATGTTTTATATCATACAGAATTAAAACAATGTATTTGTCATTTAGTATTAGTCACTTGTAGGATATTTAAAAAAAAACATTACAATTTTAGCATAATTTTATTCTGATGCTAAACCTAAGGTTAGCTAAATTCATATTATACAGAGAATAAGCAAACCTACTTCCTTCTAGGAGTAAATATCACTACCGTACAACCTCATACTAGGTTAACCTTTGCTAAGTTTCAATTAATAATACGAATTTTGACTAAAACTAAGTGCAGTCTCTGTGTAAATTAATGCTTAATTTTATTTATTAATAACATACGTTGGCAACTCTTAAGTCTTTGGTTACAGAATTCTAAAAAACAAACTGTATTCAGAAGTTCACAAAAAAATACATGTTCATATTATTACATACAAAGAAAATGTTTGTTAGGATATGTTACTGTTTTGGTAAAACTGCGCTGGTGACTGCTTTGTGTTGCCTATTCTTTGTCAAGCGATTGAACTACTGAGAATAAAACCATTTTAAGACAAGACAATAGAACAACTATGTACAAAAACTTTCATTAACAGTAGATGTCAATTGGAAATAAGGATAATATCGGAGTAAAAAATCTATTTAGTCAGTCAGTAAGGTAATAGAAAATTATATGAGATACATATTATTATTTTTTATAGTTAGTGAGAAATGACTTATGCCCATTTTCACTAAACTTAGGAGTCGTGCAAATCTGTCCCCTAATTATTTAAGAATTGCCTAAAGTGAAAATGTATTTTAGCAATTGACTAGGAACCACCTAACAACATTTAGCAATGTCTAAATTTATTACATGCGTTATAGCCTAGCGTAATATGACAGGTCACAAATGTGTCAATTTATAAAAGATTTTTTTTTACTTGGAATTAATTAATCTGCTGACATGATTCGTAAGATTAGGCGTTTCCTAGTTACATGCCTTGCAGTATAGCCTAGCGTAATATGACAGGTCACAAATGTGTCAATTTATAAAAGAAAAAATATTAACTTGGAATTATTAATCTGATGAGATGATTCGTAAGATTCACAACTATGCCAAAATCTACCAAGTGTGACGTCATGTGACATTTCAACTCAACGTAGCGCCGAAATATATTACATACATAAAAATATTTTGTGTATAATATTTTTCAATAATCTACCCAATGGACCAAAAGTCAATAAGTCATCATCTGTATTGCCCAGATCGGCAAAATTGAGGATTGACGATCAGACGATTTTATGGCAAAAAAAAAATACTTTACTATTATAAAGGGCAACAAATATTACTTTAGCTCGGAGCATCAAAATAGCTAGATCAAGCTCTATAACCCATTGACAACATCATGTTCGATAATGAGGTGTTAGACGGTACTTAACGGTTTAAAAATGGTGTTGTATAAACAGCTTCAAAAGGCAAATGCTCAGAAGAAACAACGGTGCGGTATATGGTGCGTGCAACAGTTGATAATAACATTACAGTTTCTGTTGTAAATTAATTTTATAGGTAATCTCTACGTAATTTATGTTCGTCGTAGAACAAAGAAACACATTGTATCATAGTAGTAATTAATTATTATCGAAAAAAAGAGCAAAAACACAAAAAGCAGAAAATTACATTTTTATAAGCCACCCTCAAATATTTATTTTATTATGTTTTTAAATTACCTGAACATTGATAAAAATACGCTCACTAGTACTAAAAAGAAACAAGGGCTTGAAAAATTCTTTAGTCAGTTCAGAGCAGCCCGGATAGCGAAAGGTGACTTGACCTTTCGAGTACCATTTTAGAGAGCAAGGGACAAAGTGGATTTTTAAAACATTATTCATTAAAGATATTTTTCAGTTTAATATTGTGAAAGCAAAATTGATTAAATATAACATTTAAAAAACAAATTTAATTATATTACTTTATCAATTTTGTATTTACAATCTATACTGGTAAATTCCACCAGCTCCATGTACCCCGAGATAGGGACGAACCCACGACTTTTCGCTATCCGGACGACTGTTCTAACTGACAGACGAATTTTTCAAGCACTTGTTACTTTTTCACAATTAGTGAGCGTATTTTCGTAAATGTGGATGCCTGAATCCACTCAAACAGCCGAAAGAAAAAAATTTATACAAATATTTTAAACTTTTAATTAATCTCTCTATTCGACTAAAATTTGTTTTAAATATAATAATTTATCAGTTTCGTATTCACAATGGTAGGTTAATATTTTTAATGAACAATTCTAAAAAAAGCAATGGTACTGGTACTCCGAATTGGGACACGAGTTTAAAAAGGATTGTATTAAACTTATTACTCACAAAAATTTCATCAATTGAAATATCTGGCTTATCAAAAGAGATTTCAACTCTCGACCTTTCAATGATTGGGCGACAGCTCTTTCAATTAAGGAGAAATTTTTCACAAAAGGGAAAGGTCCTATCCAGATGTAGGTGCCTAACGCAGTTGTATTCGTTTAATAATCTTAATTCCATGAGGAAATATGAAATAACATTCGGGATACAAATAATATATAAAATTAATTAACAGTATTAGAATAATTAACCTTAATTCTATGTAGAAAGAAATAATTTTCATTTGTTAAACTTGCCTTTCGCGATAAAGATCATGCGAGAACAGTCCAAAAAAAGCATTTAATTATATCGTATGTACTAAGGGTTGTGTCCAACCAAACAAAGGGTATAGGAGGGCCTATAGCCGTCTGCTCAGTAATTAGTGCGTTAATCACGCCAAGAGTTGATGCAACATACAGACAGACGTTTCTCGGAAACCGATCGGCGCGGCCCGCGAAGGAGCGGCAAATTGCCCACAGATATGTGTGCCGCTCGTATGTTCACTTGGTAATTGCAAAAATCATTCGACGCAGAGAACTGGGTATATTCCTGGCGTCCGTTACATGTGTGCAACGGTCGTGTCTTAACATGGCTAATGTCTTGTTGTACATAAGTATTTTTAATGGCTACGGCTAATGAGATTTATAAGGGAAAGCAAATCATTGCATTTGTTACAGTATGTTTTAGTTATAAAATGGGCTGTAGAGGACCACTTCTTGTCTTTTTGGTACCTACAAGTTTTTCTTCTAACGATATGGCGCAAAATAAAAATTCAACTTCTGATCAAAGATTTTTTATTGACGGAGAAGCTATATTTTTACGAATAGTTCGAAAAAAAAAATACATTTCATATTAAGTATTTAAATAGTTAAGTTTTAATATTTTTTCTATATCTGTTTTATAATGGTTTTTCTATAATCAAATATATTTCAAAATCGTGCTTCCTTCTAATAATAGATGCCTGTTAGTTGGGCAAAAGGAACACCGTGTTTATAATCTGCTCTAAATTCAAGTATTCCGCAAAAAGATAGACCAATGTACTAAACTCTAGTTGGTGATAGCGTACCTAGTGTCCAATAGTCCTGTTTTCCCGGGACATGTCCTGGTTTGTTGTTCTGGATAGATTTTGGGTAGTCCTGGATTTTAGAGCAGATTGTCCTAGGCTCTTAAGGCTTTATTTAATCTTTTTTAAAATTCACGAGGCGAGGTCACACTTATGAGTGTTTGCACTGTGTGGCGGGATTACCCATTTAGTCGTTTAAAGGAAGACAGAATTAGTTACTTTTTCAAGTAATAAAATAGTAGGTACATGTATACGTTACTAACCGCCTGGTTAGTAACAACTGCGAGAAAAAAGTCTATCAAAATAACGATGGTAATTGCCGTCCTGTTGGAAAACGAGGTATGATATATAAGGTTTAATAAGCTCTTATACGTAGAAAATTGTCATACAACCGGTTTCTGAATTTAGAACAGTACAAAATCATAACTGATTATTCTCAGTAACTCAAGTTCTGCGTTTCATAAGTATTAAGTCCTAGTTTTATCAAATATCAACTGATAAAAACTAAAATCGGAAACAACCTGACGTTTAAGTGCAGTTTGAGACGATCCTTCTTAACTTTAAATTCTTAATTCAAAAACCAGATGTTAAACAGGGTATAGTGCAGGATCACAGGTGTCATCTTAGAATCGAACTTATGTTTGTTAAAATTAGTTATTCCATTAACAAACGTGAAAAACGGATAATTTCCACGAATAGTAGTAGGAAAATAGATCTTTTGACCTTAATTGCTATATGATCGATGTATCTAAACAGATAAAGGTGATAGAATTAGCCGTTATCTCATTGTTACAATTTCGAATTGATGTATGATTCATTATTATTTCTGACGATATTGCATCAGATTTCTATATATTGGCTAATACTAAGCTGTAGGTAATATGATCACGTACTGTGGATTAAGTGTGGATTAATTTTTAATACGTACATTGGACATTATTTCTTTGGTTTCACTGAGGATTGAGGATTCGAGATTCAAATTCAAAAGATTCTCCAATAGACAACTGCTAAAGGTAAACCAGCCATTATGGTAACCGGGCGAGTGCTATTCAAAGTGAGTTGACTGAAACCCTAAGGCTGCTTGCTACACACAGCCGCAGTTGCACAAACGTCCATAATTGTCATTAGATTAAGGCGACATTACCCAAACAAATGAATGTATTAATGAATGAAAATTTTATTTGCAATAATCACAGCACAACATGCTATATACACATTGAAATAATTAAAATAAAAAACAAAAAAATAAATAAAAAAAATTAAACAGTCGATTAAAACACACAGGGCCACATGTATGCCGGGACGATGCAAAAAGGGCAAAAGCTCGGCAATATGTTTGCTTAAAAAGCAAACTGCCGATTTTCAGCTTTGACCTAAGTTTAGATTAGCGGGAAACCAAAGACTAAAACAAATGAAGAACTTTCATCAGGTTTTAAAGTGGTCATTAAAATTAATGGTCTTTTCTGCAACGGCATAGCGGCGGGCCGCCAGCTCTGTGCGTAGCAGCTTTTAGCGAGACTGTCGAATTTTTCAAATACTTTTTACTTTCTCTGTTATTGAGAGGAATTTCATCAATTAAAAGTTTATATTTGATTTGATCGGAGCGTCATTGCCTTCTTTTCCATTTCTAATGAAAAATAAGTATAAATCGTTAATTATAAGTTATCACCTTTCTAGTTAACAACTTTTATTAAAATAGAAAGTTTCATTCGCTTTAAGGCCCTTCTAAATTTTTATTCCTTTAACGTCACTGTTTAAAAATATAAGTGTAATTATATGATTTACCTTTTACGTCATAATGGGTTTCCTCGTACTAACATTAAATATTGAAGTGATAATGTTAAAGGAAACCTAATACTTCTCTATAATAACAAAAAAAAAATGGTTAGTGCATTACCCTTAGCATAATGTCGTTCCGAGAATTTAGGGCCCAGTCACTCCACCGCCCATATTCGTAGAATTGTAGGTCATTCGTTTAGTCAGTATTTCGTTTGGTATTCTAGCTTGGTAAAATATTTCTAAATTAATAGTTCTCATTGTTGTTTTATTTTACGGTGTAGAGAAGCTTGCATGATCTAACTATTAATCTTCGTTGATTATCCAATCATTGGGAACAATTTCAAAAATGTCGATATTTATATATACTTTATTGCCAAATCGAACCAATCAATCCGTAAGAATTAACAGAAAATTCGTAAGGTCAGTGTCATTAGTGGAGAATTAAATAATCGATAAATATAATACATAACATACATACATAAAAATATATAACATATGCAACATTATACTAGCATAAAAGTAAAATATTGCAAGCCCAGATTTACAACAGACTGAATTATACAGCAATATACTGCTCGAATACCAAGTATAGTAGTTAATCTTCTTATATTATGAAAATTGGAAGAGTCGATAAAGAGACGTCAATTTTCTACATTAACCCAAGCGATAATTATTTTAAATCAACCGCTAAAATGTCTATATAAACCACTTTGAAGATATATGTGATCGCAATTAATCAGCGAATTAAAAAATTGACTTCCGTGATGACTAGTATTCTATTAAAGCAATTGAACGGGTAATTTAACATGGGATTTTATCGTAACCGGAGTGGTTTTGACGTCTACCAGTTCTATCATACGATATAAAAAAAACTAATCAACTAGAATCTAACATAATAACATGTCGCCCTCTTGCTAATACTGAGAAACGGGGTTTGCCAATTACCATAATCCTTGGACTTTCTAAAGCGTCATAACAATTGTCCCTTCATACGTACTAATATTATAAATGTGAAAGTAACTTTGACTGCTACGTTTTCATAACAAAGTATCTTACGAAAAATAGACTTAAAGGGTTTGTAATAAGAATTAAAACACGAAGAGCGATATTTCCATGCAGACGAAGCCGCGAGCGGAAAGCTATTAATTTTATAAAAATAAGTCTTATTGTTTTCTTATATTACAATACCTACTTTCGAAGAAGTTTTTAATAAATTAGTAATATTTTTCTGTGGGATTCCCGTCATGTTATAATTATACCATGTTCTTTATCACTAATCCGAGAATTAAGTGAAACATTTTAATGGGTTACTATATACAGAGCAGTTTTATTGTCTTTTAGTACATTTTACAGCAATGTGCAAGCATGATATAAGCGTAAATGATTCATAAGAGGTTTTCTCGGGATCGTAATGAGTGGTATTTTTATTTGTCCTCCTACAAGCATTGTGTTCGGCTCTGAGTAGCGTTTGCTTTTGTTGTTTAGAAGAAAGCCGTAAAAAAGGAGATTTTGTTTCCGTCTTTGTTCGTTGATGTTATTTTTCATTAGCTTATTGTCTTAATGAATTTCGCATTTGATTTTGTATTTTTTTTTTTACATGTTTGCGTTTGTTAAGCTTCGGGCTTCGTTAACATAAAATTGGATTAAAATATACTGGCCAACAAGGAATTAATACGTAGACGCTAAATATATATAATTATTGTAAAAATTATTTATTTGATTATATCTACACGGATGCACTAAAGACAGTTTTTAAGTTAGATTCACCAAAAGGTTCGAATAGTTAGGTAGGACGTAGGTATTATTTATAAATATTACCTATATATTGATAAAGACTTTTCAATTGATATGTTCAAAATAGCTCACTGACAGATAGTGATGCTCATAATGCTATCGCTAAACGGTGATACCCATAGTAGTCGATCTTTGTCTGACAATGAGTAGACACATTCTCCTATTGTTATACCTACCGACGATATGAAAATCATTTCGTAATAAATACTTTGTATCATCCCATGGAAAGGATTATCTTGAGCTCCTCTTTGCTTTAGAAGGCACGTTAAGCCGTTGGTCCCAGGTTGCATCTGCCGTCGTTAGCACTCACTAATCCTAACCGGCTCTGTGTAGTGGCTCCCGTTTTCCTTATTCGATTCCATGGGGAAATGATATGTTCCAATAATGATGTCATTAACAGGCTGGCAATGAAATTATTATTACTGAAAGATCGTATCATAATAATTAGTATTTAATATTACATTTGTTCAATTGCCTAATAAATTTAACTTTAAATGTGTAGATATTTCTATCATCTAGGACTATGATTTCGCTACAAGGATTATGATTTCGCTTCAAATTGAAACGTGCTTTGATTTTATATCAACCTGAATTTTGCCTGATTAAGTAGCACAATCATATTGCATCCGATTTCAGCTCACGTACGTATCTGCGGTTTTTAAAGCAATGGTTTCTAGATTTGAAATTTTTTTTTAAAAGTTTGAAACCTTTATAATAAATGTTACTTTTATAACAGCGTTTTCCAACTTTTTCTGATCCACGGACCCTTAGGACATCAAACGAGTTCATTAGAACCCCTTTTTATAATACAATTTTTTTCAGACCAAGTGGATTATTAAATTTTTCGAAGTGTTTTCCGAATAAAATGATATTAACACTAAATAATTATTAATAAATAATTAATTTTATATTTACTTCAGTTTAGACTAAAGGGTGTTAACGGCTACAGACACAGGACCAACGGCTTTACATGCCTTTCGAAACACGGAGCTCGAGGTTATAACTTTTGATCACCCCTCCTATGACCGGCCCTTGCGAAAGTTACTTAACTAACCACTGTGCTGTCGAGTTCCTCTGAGCTCCTCTGATGTGATTATAACTATAAAATTAAATGTTTTAATTGCAGAGAATGTGGTCGTCAACGTTTTTGTTGCTAACCGCGGCCACCTACACAGCAGCAGCTGGATATTGTTCAGTGAATACACTGGCCACTAACACAACGTGGATGCAGTTCACAAAAGAACCGGTGCCGCTGGAGTACGGCTTCGAAGATAAATTCAAAAGTATCTACTGCTGCGTCAAAGGTTACCGGAGTATACAGTGGTAAGTAGGTTTGTCATCATCATCATCAGCCCTTTTTCGTGCCTTTTACGGGCTCAGGCCTTCACTATGGATGATTAAGGAGAATATGAATTAAAAAAAATTTTTTTTTTAATACTCAATCAGGTAATTGATTTTCTCATTAATTATGGCCCTTCTTTGATATTTAGTTATGCATTTTGTAAAAAGTTTTTCTTTGCCCTTAAAACGTATCTCGCATATAAAATGCATTCACTTCACCTTTGGGTCACCCTCTTACGTGTGTTTGTTAAATTTTCACACAGTCAGTCTATAGTCTCTGAATAAATTAATTGTGATTTGACATTCTAAATTTTCACTTTTCGTTATACACAGAAATTCTTGTAATATGATACGTAATAAATTTGTAACAAGGGCTTTACTCGTCAGCTTCTTCCTATTAATGTTGTCAATGTTATACATAATAAATATATCAACTACTCTACTTTTAATAATGTCAACAAATTCCAAGAAATTGTAAAGAAATGTCTACGCCAAAAACACCATGACAACAAATCAAAATGTTACATATAAAAACAAGATTAACATCATATTCACATTAATTTATGCTTATGTCAATCTACTATAAAAATTAAACATGTCGTTTTTCTGCCTTATTTTTTATTTTGCTGCTTAATATGTTTCACAAACGACCGTCGAGGTGTAACTTTATATAATAGAGAATTTAGATAAAAGTTAAATACATGCTGTCAATCTCGGATAAACATGATTTGTAAGAACAAATAAAATATTTCAATTAACGTATGTTTATTTAGTACGAATGAGATATGAACATTTGAAATCTCAATAAGACACTGATATACATACTAGACTGTGACGTCAATGTCTATATCGTCTTTTTTACATATTTTTGGATTTTGAAGTTTTAGTGACGTGGTAATCAAAAACTCGATATTATTGAGTTCATTATAAATAGAGATAATCGATTTTTAGGTCAATGTATGAAATAGGGTTTAAGAAAAATATTTATTCATCAACAGGATTAACTTAATTGAGTCAGAAAAATACAAATTTTATTAAAGTTTAGTTTAATTATTATGACAGCGATAATAAAAAAATTTGCAAATTATTACTATCTTCTAACAACTATTGTTGATCGAAGATTCAAACACTATTAAAAAAAGTTCCAATTTTCGTTAAAAGTATTGATTTTAAACTTTAGAGGGTAACATTTCAGTAATTATTATGGGTATTAAAAAAATATTTGTGTTTTAACATATATATAATATGACAAATTATAATACTAATAATATAACAGGTAAATAATATTTTATAACGATGGTATTTAATTATTTATAATCATAAATTGCGTGAATGGATTTGTTAACAAACGTCACCGTACCCATGCTACGTGAAACGGATAGGTATTATCGTCGAACAAGAAAGACAAGGACAGAAAGCTTAGGTAATCAAACCCTAACGTTATTTTATAAACGAATAATAGTTAAATTACATAATTAATAAAATTAAAATATTTTAAATATGTTTGTCTTATTGTAATATGTATAAATATATTCCCTATTGCATTCCACTACAGATTTAACTACAGTGCTCATCACTTTTTGAGACTCATTTATTGTGGTAGGTATTTATAATACTTGAAAAAAAGCAGGTATAAAAAAATCTTCGTGCGTATTTGTTTAAGTTTAAGAGATAAGAATTTGTGATTTTCGATAATACTTTTTATACTGTTAACATTAGTCATAATATCGTAACTAAAAAATTCTACCTATCTTAAATTATCTTATTGAAAATGAACATAGATACAATAGTTTTCCACAAATACCTGCATTTTGTTTTTTTTTTTAAATGCAAGTACTTACTTAATACCACCGCTTGTTAGACCTCCGGATAATACCGAATACATTATGGCCTTTTAATGCATTTCCAACCAAATCCGGATAATACCGAATACATTAAGGCCTTTTTATGCATTTCCAACCAAATCCGGTGTAACAAAAGATCTTTGAAGAGCTTATCGGAAGCAGAATTCCATTGTTCTAATCTGATCTATTAAATATCTGCTTATCAGAAGCAATGGATACATCACATTGCATACCAACACATATGGCCAGTATACACGACAACTTTTAGCGATTTAACGGTTCCTATTCGTTCAGTTTGTACAATTTTATTGGATGAAAAATGTCGCAGAATATTGGATTAGTGCAAGCGATCGCAGGCACTAGAATATGTATGTTCGAGAAAATATACAAAAGGACCTGGACAGTCAAATCGCTACGACATATCGTTATCGCGTGGACCGGCTGTTAGACGCGAGATATTATCGAGTTAGAAATTGCTCTTGTCAACCGACCTAAAAAGGAACCTTGGACATGACACTGGCTAATATTTTATTTTTGTATACTATTTTAACATCAAACAAAACTCACAATACATAAAAATGCAATTAAATCGTTTCATGTTTATAAAGAGAGTACTAAAACGGCGAAAATTCTTAAATGAAAGATTCTACAATTGAATATCTTTATAAAACTGTTAATAAAACATTCAATTAATGGATTATTTTTCGATACATTGTTAGATGTAGATGGGTACACAGAATAATAAAGACGGTCTGCTGGTTTATCTTCCACATATCCCTTCAAGAGAATGTTTTTAAATTGACAATCGAATGACGCTTATCTTTCATAAATGGTTGTACTGATTATTATTTTGGGCACGTCAAGCCTACCGTCGAGGGTAGAAAGAGTCGATGAGCAACGAACAGGTGTGTAAAATTGGACGACTACGAAATTTCCGAGAAGTTGCGACCAATGTAGGTGTGTGCGAAAATATTCCCCCGATCATAATGCACGTGATGTAACCACACGCCACTGTCGGTGTCAGATTGTGACGTACTGCAACATCTTAAAGGTGGATATGGTGAAACGAGAGGTCGCCAGGTTTTCAATCACTTTTTAATTGCAAAAGGAGATTACTGGGTTCTACAATAAACGAATTTGATTTGATAGTGAACGAATTTTCTTGCAGGTGTGGTGTGGAATGTTATGGTGTTAATATATTAAAATTTTGTATAGTTTTCTGATAGAGATGTTGGGATTATCGTGGTGACTGGTTGCTACGTGTACATTTTTTCAGTTGTCAATATTGTCGCGTCATTTGTTGTGAAATAGAATCATATGACAGTATTGCTCAAAACTAGCAAACAAACTATAAACCCATCCCCAAGTGAACATACAATATAGTCGTTTTATACAATGACACCAGTGATAGAGACGCAATGGCACCATCTCTCAACTCAAGAGTTTCCACTTAATCTTCAAAATTATAAATTTCGTTAATGAAGCTGTTAAAGGGCTTACACATCCAAAGTGCCTCAGCTGGTTGTCTTATCGGTCTCCGACATACATTTCATAATAACTGAATGAATACAATCATGACTGGTTATTAGATAAAACCGTCCAAACTGCCTTATTATTACCGAGTTATTAAAATATACATGTGTAATTGAAACAATAGTTCGATAACTACCCTGCTATCATCTGAAGCAGTGGATTTCTTTCAAGTATTTATTCAAATAGTTGGCACTGACTTAAATTGTGAAGATTATTCTTAACTAAGACATATGGACGTGTCACACTCGGAAATGAACTATAATTCCACCTTTTCGCGGTGATTAACGGAACTATTCCAAGAATATTTTAATGGCGCCAGCACACAGTATGATTTGTATTTTGCGGACCTAACTGTACTTATGATATTGTATTTGCTAAGTAAAACTACCAAGAATAGGGTAGGTGGTCCGCGAAATAGGGAAATGGCTGGGGCTCTCTTTACATGACTACTGAAAAAAGGAGGGTATTGTGTTTAGGTTTAATATATGTGAGTTTATTTATTCCACCATAACTTTTGAAAGACTAACAGCCTTACTTGTAAAAATTCATTAAACTATGGTTATTTAATCGTTATACCAAGAATAGTTAAACAAGAAGTATATGCTGATAATAACGGAAGAATATCTTTTGACTTATAAACTTGGTATATCATCGGCGTAAGTATTCCACCCGTATGTTCGATGCACGTAGCGGCAACGCCGTGTTTCATAGACAAAATTGAAAAAAAGAAAGTACCTATTTTGTCTGTGATTCGATTGTAGTGTCAAATGTCACTGAGTTTGACGCTTGGTTGATTAAAGTTACTTATGGTCTGACACTCATTATTCCTTGAACAAGACGCAAAATGTCATTTGACAGATGCGTTTTGTTAGATCATTATATCGAGGTTATGCTAAGCATAAGTTATACCGAGTTTATAAGTTGACAATTTGCGTATTCCGCACTAATGCTCGGTATAATATTTTATACCACGTTTATAAGTAGCGCTGTTAGAGTGGCACTGGCTTAATACATATTTACTTATACAAAAATATCCAAAATGTCGGATAAAATTTAAAAAATATGAAAAACTTTTTTTCTATGGGTATGTTCCGATATACACTGCGACCACTGAACAGTATTACGTCAATTTAGTATACTGGAAGCCCGTTCCTTTATAGCTAATTATACTGGTGACTTTTTAAAACGGAACGCAGTCCAGTATACTGTTAATCCTATTTTTTGGCGCCATTTTCAAATTTGTTAATGCAAGGTGAATATAAATATAAAGATTCCCTCTTTTCAAAAGAAAATATTATAAAATTGTATAAAAAAATTATTTATCCATCTTATAATAAACGTAAGTATTTTTTTTTTGTTTATTTAGAAACTTATCATTTTCTGATTCTGTTTCGACTGATCACGTGATCAAAAGCACTGCGAGCACCTTACCTCGAAATCTCCAGTGCTCACAGTACAAATATGGCGGCAATTTATGACCTCATGAATTTCCCTAGGGTACTGTAGCAGTGTACTGGCAGTCCATTACGGAACGGATTTTTCAGCAGTAAGACCACTGCGCAGTGCTCGCAGTGTATATCGGAACATACCCTATAATTATAGCAA